AGGATCCTTTCTTCCTACTGAAGCAGAAGGACTCATTGCTAAAACCAGACTATGTTCTGCGTGGATAATCCCATGGATCTCATAGCCCATAGCCTTAGGACAAGCCACTTTCCATCCTCTGGCTGCCTAATCTCCTTGGAGGTATCAGCTCCAGTAGGCAGAGATTGGGGAGCTCTTTCTATTGCTTAGCGCCTACCATGCTGGGGAATCTAGATGCCTCCACAAGTTTGCTGCACGTATGTTTCTCCAGACATCTTCTACAAAAGCTGACTGCAGCAAGAAATCACATCTCAGGGGATGAAAGCTTCTTGGGAGGTTTCAAGCCACGCTCAGCTCTGCGACAGGGCTCCTCACAAGGGAAATATGGTGGGGATAGCAATTCGCTCAGGCAGAGCTCAGCGTTTGGATGCTTCTGTGTTATGTATAGTATTACATTTCAGGATGCTGTTCAATTCGGACACGCAGTCCCATGGCTATTGTGTCAACCCAGGCATGACACTGCCCACGGGTCTGACAGGGAGAGCTAACGTCACTCTGCACCTTGACAGTGAGCCCCAACAGTTCATAAAGCAGACAGTGCCTGGCTGGAAAAGAGCTGCTACTGCTCCCAATGATGCCATGAATACGATAAATATGCCATGCTATTCCTTCCCAGCCTTGCTTGCAATTAAGCATAGATGGCATTTCAGGTAAGATTCCCCCATAGTGCCTATAAAGCATTTAGTCCATAAATGACCCAGCCCCACTGCATCCATCCTAGAACCAAAAGGCCTGAAAAATGAGGATATTGCAGGCCCAGTGCCCATCCTTCTCCTGGAAAGCCTTATCAAGGCTGGTAGCACAAAACTGTGCCTGAATCTGGTTTCACTGAAAAAGCTCCTACAGAGAGAGCAGGATGAAGGGGCTGTCAGCACTCACCGAGCAGCTCAGGAAGCACAGGGACTGTGAGCCTATTGTTCAGTTGAAATCCCCCCCCTTTGCTTCTCCCCTCTGTCCCAAGCTCTCAGATTTATAAAACACCATTTAAAAAAAAATTTTTTAAGAACTTTTTAAAGCTTATCAGAGAGGGTTTGCTCTCTAATACATCATACCTTAAACACAGATTCCCTAATGGCTTGTTCATTGGACTGCATTCAAGCTGAAAGGACTGTGAGGCATCTGGGATCATCTTGGTGTGGAAATCTGCTTGGGGATTTTAAGCCCGATTTCCTAGGGAAATGAGTCTGTGCATGTCTGTCCATCTGCCCCTAGCCCATAGCAATACTTGAGCCTATTAGTCTGTTTAGACTAAGTATGATCCAGAGGTATGAGGAACAGGAGTGAAGTAGCACTCAAGCTGTGAGATGAGGGGGGTGGGGGCTGTCTGTAAAGGTGGGCTGGTGGTTTAGCGGAGCCTGCCTTATCTTCCTGACTGTAATGCCATGCCTCCTACACTTACAAAGTACAGTGTGCAGCCGTTCTCCTCCTCCATGTCCCATAGTCTCATCCAGGGGATCCCTGGGACACACTCCTCTGTTTCTTCCTCACAAGTCCTTCCTTTGTTGCACCAGTCTGACCAGAAGAAACTGCAGAGGTTTGGATAACTTAGCTCATTCTCTTGAACTTTACTCGACAGCTTGCCTAATGCCCAGTCTTGATCTTGCTAATTTTGCCATGTTCTAATCCTTTTCTCAGCCTTCTACATAGCGTAGGAGGTTGTTTCATTACTGTGTTAATTCTGATTTACATCTAATTCCAGAGGAATCAATAGACTTTGAAAGGGGAGTTGCAGAGCAGAGAATGAGAACTTCCAAATGACACAGAGGGTGGAGAGGTAGGAGCTGAGGGAGATTTGAGGTGAGAAAGTATAGACCAAGGATAGAAAGGGTGCAGAGACCAATACTATGCAGTCTGTTCCACATAGCCTGATTTCTGGGAAAGGCACTTCATCTGGAAAAGGCAGCTAAAGCCCAAGGAACATGTGTTTATGCATGTAAATAAATAAAATTATATTTAACCTTCTTCCCAGGCGTGCTGTGAGTGTGAATGTTTGCAAAGCTGTGAGATCCTTAGTTGAAAGGTGCTGTGAAAGTGCAAAGCATTATTAATATCCTTTACCTTACTCATAATAGAGTATGCATTCATTCTGGGGAATTTCTGGACATAAACCAGACAGCTGCAGAATGACATTTCTTGAAAGCATCTATGATTTATTTTCTGCTCTTTAATTCCATTTTGTATTGAACACACATTTGTCATAGGACTGTTGTTTCACTGGGCCTTTTAAGTCTAAAACAGACTTGGGGACCTGATCTTTACCTGGTATAAATTTGCCCCTAACTTCACTGTACCTATTTGCTGATTTACACCAGAATAGGACCCCAGTCCAAGGTTTTTAATTGAATTTCCATAGCATGGCAAGTTTGGGTGTAAAATCCAAGTGGTTTTAATGACAGATAAGACTCTCCCTGTAACTAACCGTCTGGCTGGAGTTCTGTAGGATCTCTTCGAGCCACTGGGCGTCAGGTCCTGGGAATGATATTGTTTTTGCAGAAACTCGAGTCTCTGGATAGGTTCCCTGGCTCTGTGTTTTCCATTTTGTTTTAAACACGTTCAGCTTTAGAGTCTGGGCCTGTAAGCTGGGAGGGCTAGTGTGGTTCTTTCACGTTGCACGGATTTTTGTGAAAACAAAACAAAAATAGCTTAGTGGATTTGGACTTTTGGGGGGTTTTGAGAGGGAGAGAAAGAGTTGGAAATTTGCACTAGCTGAGTGAACATATTTCAATAGCAATGCCTGTATTGCTAACTATCATATTTAACCCTTCTTACCATTGCAAAGTCACGCTCAGAGCTAAGTCTCATCCTAAACACAAGTGTGGCTGCCTCTATATATGCCCACACTTTACTCCATAATCCATACTATATAGGGGAAACTGAGGCAAAGGGACTCATCTGAGGTACACTAAACCTGGATTAAACCTGGGCTGTCACATGTACACTGCCCTTCCAAGCTGACATTTTACATCCTAAAATGTATGCTACAAGGAAGTCCATTCAGAGAGGGTTTGAACAATAATTTTGACCAGGCTTAGCCAAAGTTATCTGGAGAACCAAGCCTTGATTCTGTAAAGCCCAAGCAGCCATAGCAATACACGCCTGGTCAGCACATGTGATTGTAATAGTATCACTTATTGGTTAAAAAAACCCTCAGGAGATGCATTTTACACTCTTTCTGTGACACTGTGAGAAGAGCAGGCTCCTCCTCTGTGACAAAGTTTCTCCATCTGGAGGAGGAGGATGATCATCTATCCAGATGACGGCCTATTTGTTTACTCAAAACATGCTGATGCATCTGAATCAACCAACCCATTTGTAGCATTGATTCACTTTGGTCAATTATCTGATCCAAAAGAATCAGAGAAAATTGAAAATTTTCAATGAGTTCTGCTACTTTTTGGAAAGGAATTTTTTCTCTAATTTGAAAATAATTTTTCTGTTGGAAAATTAATTGCTACCTTTCTTTTTAACAGGCTCAACATGTAAATGACATTTCCATTAAAATTACATAATGGCAAAACTGTTTCTGATTGGGCTAACCAAAATGTACATTAGCATCTCCATTGGTGGAAATTTCTGAGGTTTTGCCTTTCTCTCTCAGTGCAGAACTCTCATGTTTTTTTCAAAATATTTCTCAAAACATTGCTCTAGCTCTAGTTGTAATACTTCTGAAGGATATCCCAGGGGAGAAATGAAAGTCAGAGACTGGCTGCAAAGAGGACATGGGAAAAGCCAGTGGTTACTTCAGACCTCATCTTTGCTCTCCTGATTTCAGTCACTGATAGAGCAGCAGCCCAAGCTCTGGGTGCACTCAGCTGAAGTTAGGATTTGCATGACGGGTTTCCAGCAAGGAAAATGCCACCCGTGCAAATAACATCTTATTTACAACGATGACAACTGCTGAGGACTGAGCTTGGGTTTAAAGTTCCCTGGCAGCACCAGGTTGCAAGCCAGTTTCCAGCTCTGCTGCTCCTTGCCCAGCCATGGGAATGGGGACAGGGCTCCCTTCTGGGGACAGCATGGCTGGGGCTGCCACCTCCCTCTTTCAGAGATGTCCCCTTGCACTCTTTGTACCAGGCTGAAACCGTAGTGGTTTGTTTTCCAGTCTGATCTATTTGCAGTGGGGTTTGCGGTTTCTAGTAAAAAGGGAAAAAACAAATAAGTAAAATAAAAATAAAAACAGACAGATTACATGAGCTCTGTTTTCCCCCCATTCCCCTCTCTTCCCTCCTCCTCTTTCTCTCCCTCTCTTCCCCTCCCCTTCCCTCTCCCGTCCCTTCTCTGTTTTCCTTTTCATGCCAATAACTAGAAGGCTGTAATTTCAAAGCTGCAGCGGCTTTCCCAGCACCGGGAGGAATGTGCAAGTGCCTGGGATGTTTCCGCAGGGAGCTGCACAGCCCCGCTGTGCTGTGCAGCCCAATGGGGCACGAGGCAGTGCTCGCTCCTTTCCAGCGGCATGGTCAGAGGAGCATTCTGAATTTCACTTGAGAGGGTGCTTTCTCCCCTTTTCCCCCTCCTTAAAATAGCTTCCTTATTGTGCATGTCAAGTCCTTGGCCTCCCTGGGTTTTAAAGTCGCCATTTGTTTTCTGTGAAATAACAAAAGGGTTCATCTCATCCTGCTTTTCTGCCCATGGTCTTCTGTCATCTTGGGATAAGAGAAAGGGGGTCTCCTTTTGGATGGGATGAGTTGCACTCTAAACCCCATTGAGTGCAATGACTATACTTCATGATCAGAATGTGTCAAGCTCAAGCGTTGCCCAAACAGCTAGTCCCAACTGCTGTATTTACACCCTCTTGCCTTTGTGAGAGGGCCAAGGGAGCATAGGAGATATGGGGGAGGAAAAATAATAGATGTGCATAATACCAAGCTAGCTGGGACCGAGATACAAAGCTAGATTCTTGCAAGTTTTTTCTGGGAAGAGTTGATTTCAACCCCTCTGTGCCTGTTGTCTTTTGTCATTAGATTCCTCCTATGATGCAGTCAGGAGAACAGGATGGGGCAGTAATATGAATTCTGGCCTCACCAGAAGTAAGTTTTCCCAATGGGAATCACAAATTCTGCAAAGGAAGATCAAAATGAGACTGTGGGAAAAGACAGGCATGGCTGGCTTGTGTTATGAGCATCAGAAGGGCGGAAGATTTGGGGATAGTCATTAAGATAAGAGCTAGAATTATGTTATGAAAAGAAATAGAAATTGACACAAATATTTTTATTATTGAATCATGTACTGAAGATGACGGCATGAATCTCTAATACTTTCAGGATTTGATTAAGGGGCCAGGAGCAGATTCTCCATGCAAACATAGACTCCATGTTAACCACATGCCTGGAGTCCTAGTCCGGTGTCATTTTTGTAGGGACAGATATAGACACCTTAGGCAGATTCTGAGAGTTTCTTACTACTTTTCAGAAAGTAAGATTCTACACAAAGTGTAGCAGGCAGATAGGGCCCCTACTGCATGAGCCCTACTCATGCAACTGTTCTTGTTTCTTACTGGTTTTATAGTGTCCTTGAATTCACAGTACACTCTGGGTGACATCTCGTTAGAAATGTCAGTTCCCTGTCCCTAAAGACTGTATTCTGGCTAACATAACCAGCTGATACTGAGCCCCACTCTCCCCTGATTCCACTGCTGGGGCATATCCCTGTGCAGCTGTGCAAGATGGGCACATTTGACTCTCAAAACAATACTACTGGGTGCAGAACCTGGCTGTCAGATTACACTTCCTCTGCTTTGCAGCTTTCTGAGCTATGCGCACTCTAAATGTGAAGACTATTCTTTGAGTTATAGTTTTCTGTTATGAGAAATTATATGAAGAAGAGTAACAGCTGTTTAAGTTGAAGTGATTCATAGAAATGGCCATGATACTTTCAACAAAATGTTTGATTTGATAAACGCAAAAGTTTTTGCATAAAAAGGATGCTTTAGAAAAGAATTTACATTTCCAAAAAATATTGAAAATAGTTCCAACATGGAAGAAGGTCAGAATGTATACATTTTAAATAATCCAATTTTCTGTTCAAAACATGGATGTAAACTAGAATGGAAGTTAAGTTGCAATAAAAGACAGAAAATTAATAAAGAATCTACATAACATTTTTTTCTTGCCTCATCTGCATATTTTCGTTTTACAGTGAAAGTTTTAATTTCTAGTGAGATCTTTTAATTTTATAGAGCAATTTCAAAAATATCAGCTCCTAGGATCAGAAAACTTTTCCCACCCCAGTTGCTATTGTTCCTGTTCAATGTGTCTTGTATTTGCCTTGTTCTCTGTTCATTCCTCCTCTTCTGTTCTAGTACCTGTAAGATCTTTCTCTGTCTTTACAGGCCCTCCTGTTGCAAGCACGCAAAATGTGAATAAGACAACAGAACAGCAACGTCCCCAGCCAGGTAACTGTTGATTTTGTCACTGCTGCATTTGCTAAGTAATTAGATTTGTGCTAGATTGGGTGAATAAATGCATCAAGCAGCACCAACCACAGGCACAGGACAAACAGGCAGAGCCTTACAGGAGAGTCTCAGAATAATGAGTCAACTGTGACCGAGCAGTGACAGTAATTGTTCCAAACTGTTTCTATTTTACTGCATTGTCCTTCCCCATTCAAAAGAAACATCCTTGTTTCAGCTGAGTCACATGCAGTGCCTAGCATCAGTTACATCTCCTTTGAAGCATCATGACATGCCATGTAATAGGTCTTGAAGCAGTTAGGGGCACGGAGCTGTTTATGCTGCAGCAGTGGAGTGTCTGCTTGTTACCTCTTCACCTCTGCTGCAGTGATGTTCAATGGATGTATCTCCAAACAGAATCAACAGGGCTTCCCCTGCGTCAGAGAAAACCAAATAAGAAAGGCAAACCCTGTTGGGCATCAAGCAGTAGTGTTTCCTGCTAGTTTCCCAAGGGGCCTTTGAAAAGCTAAATACCACCTTTTCTGCTTTGCACAGCTGCTTTCTATCCCCCCCCCCCCCTTTTTTTTTTAAGGGTTTGGTTCTTTTGGCATCGATTCAATCCACGAGCAAATGCTATAGATCCAAATCACCCAAACCAGAGAGAAGCAAAGGAGAAGTGTAGAGATTAGGGCTGAGGAGGCCCCACAAAAAGGGAAGGAATTCATTCTTAATAAATACATTGTGGAGTTTTCAAGAAACATTCAGCCTCATTGGAGCCAGTGACAAAACTCCTGTTACTCTCATTTGTCTAATGCTCTGTTTGCTTCAGTAAGAGAGAGTTGGGCGAACATTTCATTGACCTCAGAGGGAAGCAAGCTCAACTGCTAACAAGTGAATTTGAAAATCTCATCTGCTGTCCAGCTCTTTTTATTAGGAGAAATATATTTGCTCCTGATTTGTTACTGGTCTACTATCCCACACTGCTTTTTTTCATGTCTCATGTTTTCTAGTTGACACATAAGTGTATGGTATGTCCAAAGAGATTACAGACTGTGAAAGCAGGCAAGTCTGAAACCAATGCCAGAAACACTGTGCCATTTTGGATTCCATAAATAATTGGTGGTTGTTTGCTAAAAAAGAAATATGAAACACATCACGTCTGTTCCAGGCCCTAGGAGAAGAGGCAGTAAAGAAAGAAAATGAAGATCTGAACTGGTTTCTAGAATAAACAATAATGAACTGTTGTTTCTTTTTTGATGAAACATTTTTTAAAAATATCTTTTGTTGGGTGGGTTTTTTTTTTTAGATCCCTATCAAATCCTGGGGCCAACTAGTAGCCGTCTTGCCAATCCAGGTGAGTTCATCTTTAAATTTCTGACCGCCATTATCAAAGGTGTTAGCTTTCCTTCTGATCTAGTGCTCCAGTCTGTACTGGATGAGTAGCTGCTGTCCTCTACCATTGGGGTAGGCTGTGAGAGCCATTGACCGTAGCAGCTGTGCTCTCACAAGTGCTTTTGCAAAAATGCATACCGGAAAGTGAGGGAAGTGGTGCAACATCATCTTTGCCAGGACAAAATCACCATCCTGAATGTTCTTACCCAAAACCAGAATTCCCTAAGAAGAGTTTTATATGGGACTTAAATGCTGGTCTCTCACATTTGCAGTACAGGTTGGTTTTTCACTGTCTGCTATGGATTAGCTAAATGAAAGGCATAAAACTTCTCTGAAAGTCACCACCTAATAACTGTCCCTAGCGTGTCACCTGCAGAAAACAATCCCTGACTTTGGGGAATAAGACTGGGAGTAAATCTTGCTTGAACTAAACAAACTTGTGTACATTGAAAGCTTGTAAGGAAACATCCTCATAAGGCTCTTCACCATTAGTATAACCACACTGAATAAAACTAGGAGTCATCTAGTCTGGTGAAGAAACAATCTTATGTAACTCAGATCACCAACTGGAAAGAAAACTGTAGGTATCCAAAACAATATCCATGGTAAACAGTAAGGAAATGAGAGTTGAAATATACTGTGTTAACTATGCAGTGAAAAATTTTGCAGAACAGTATGCTCAGGGAAAAGCCTGTTTATGAATAGCCCGAAGATTTTAAGGCCAAAGGCGACCATTATGAAATCTAATCTGACCTCAAACTCATGAACAGAACAAAGGGTTGACTAACTTGTTTGCTGGGAACAGTTTATCCATTCCTACATAAGACTTTCTAAGGCTTGAAGGAGCAGTTCCCAGTAAAGATCGAGATAGTCCTTCTGTTTCCTGCCTTTGTCTTTGCTTTTAAGCAGGAAACACAATGTCATTTCCTTTCCTCTTTGGCTTGCTTCTCGCAGGGAGCGGGCAGATCCAACTGTGGCAGTTCCTCCTCGAGTTGCTGTCGGACAGTTCCAACGCCAGCTGTATCACGTGGGAAGGGACCAATGGGGAATTCAAGATGACGGACCCTGATGAAGTGGCACGGCGCTGGGGAGAACGCAAAAGCAAGCCCAACATGAATTATGACAAGCTGAGCCGAGCCCTCCGATACTACTATGATAAGAACATTATGACCAAAGTGCATGGCAAAAGGTATGCCTACAAATTTGACTTTCATGGCATTGCCCAGGCTCTTCAACCTCATCCCACTGAATCATCAATGTACAAGTATCCATCAGATCTCTCCTACATGCCGTCTTACCATGCCCATCAGCAGAAGGTGAACTTTGTACCCCCGCACCCTTCTTCTATGCCTGTCACATCATCCAGTTTCTTTGGAGCAGCCTCACCTTATTGGACCTCCCCTGCAGGAAGCATTTACCCAAACCCCAATGTCCCTCGCCATCCCAACGCCCATGTATCACCACACTTGGGCAGCTATTACTAGATGCTTTTATCTTCAAGTGGCCTTTATCAGTCTGGTTGGACTTTTTCTTTACTTCTGGGATTTTTATGGTTTTTTGGGGGACCCTTAATGGATAATTGTGGCCTTTCTGGGGAAGAATTAAAACTGGATATTGGCTATTCCTGGATCAAACCTTTTACTTTTGTAACTTTGCCTCTTGTGTCTTGAACTGAGAGATGGATGCTTCTTTGGGCCAGTACTCTGCATTTTCTTTGGTTTTTAACGCTTATGTCCTCTGTAGGAATTGACTATGAAGATTGTTCACCGTTACCTGGAATTATTATTAGCTTTTTCATGAGAGAAATTTTTAAGGATTCAAAGGCTTTTAACAAGACATAGATCCAACTGTGGGTCGTAGGAAAAAATGACATGGGGGTTTTTTTTGCTGTGGAGAGGGTAGGCAATTTGACCATTAAGTGGAGGACGTTGGGCTGCAGGGGACCGCAACTGGAATCTTAGCTTTAAGGCAGATGAGGATTTTCACCCAACTGGAAATTAAATATATATATATATATATATATATTCATATATATATATGTACTTGTATATTTTAAGAAGTAAAGGGCATTGAAGGAACTTTTCTAGAGTGTACAACTTCATTAGACTGTGTATTAACTCCAGAAACATCAGAAACCAGAACAAAAAGTAACCTAATATCAAGCACAGACATTCCTTGAAAGCAAAAGTGAAGTAAAATAAATGACAGCAGGCCCCTGAGCTCTGCCAGAGTCTTAGGGATCTCTAAATGCTACCGATTCGCGAACGCTGTGCGTTTGTCAGACCGTCATCCAAAGGGTCAACAAATCAGAAGGCAAATTACTGTATAAATTATGCAGAGTTATTTTTCCCTATATCTCACAGTTTTAAAAGAAAGATTAAATAAAACGAGTTGACCTCGGTCACAAATGCAGGTTTGTTTTTTACTATCAGCTCAGTTGTTTGTGGGTTGTTTTTGTTTTTTTAATATAATTTGTACATCTTTTCAATCTGTACATTTGGGCTGTAGCTTTGTACTTTTTGCTAGAAAAAAATAAAAAATAAGACATGAGTAATGTATGTGTTGGAGGTAGCCTTGGTCCTGCAATTGGATCCATAATTGACCCCCAAAGTAGCCAGGAACCTTCCAGATTTCCCTGGGTTTGTCTAGAGTAGAGTTTTTGCTTCTATAAGCCTGTCATAGTTGTCTGCAAATTAACTCCACTTAGCTAACATGTTTGCATTGAAGCTGATTGAAAACATGCACCAGCATTTTAAAGCAACTATTTAAATATTTTGTGATTATTTTTCACCAAAATCTTGAACTTTGGAAAGATCTTAACCACTTCATAGATAAAATTATCAAACACTTCTCATAACATCTTTTTGAAAACTTTTGCTGGGGAGTTTCATTTAAATTTTAAACGTCCAAAAATTCTCAGCCATCTCTAATTTTGCACATGTTAATTTGATGATCCACAAATGGTGGTTTGGTGCCATAAACAGAAGGGTAAACCACAAGCATTTATATTTTAGAACACATGTCTGAGGGGGGGGGGTGAGACTTACATGTACAACCTATTAGCTAACTTGTATTAACTGGCAACCAATTAACGGGATCACAAATATCTAGTCTAGACATAACCTCTGGGACTCTGTGTGGGTGCAAGATTTGGTCCATGTGCATCCGATTGCAGGATGAGAGCCTGAAACCAGAACATTATAGTCTGCTCATAACTTTAAACAGAAGCACTGATGCCATTATTTAACAAAATGGAAAAACAAGATCAAGCTAATCAGTTTAGGTCTTAGTGCTTTTGGGATGTTTATAAGTAACATTACTGCAATAATCGCAAAATTTAAGTATGAAGAAATTACCCATGGAAATGGGGCTTTTGCTACTATATATATGCAATGTACTTTTTGGATATTAAAATATATATAATTTTGCAAGCTATCTTGGTGTTTTTTAAAAAATGTATTAAGTGTTACAATGAAACTGTTGTATGAAGAGAATGATGTAAAAAAATGTGACAAAATAAATGGTGGTTTTCTTCTCTAAGGCATCATATTGTCCCACTCTCTCCCTCCCTTCTCATACCTGCAGATAAAGCACGAACTTTGCCTCTAAATTAAATTTAGCTAAAAAGGAAAACAAAGCAGCTCCACAGTAGTGGCAATCAATCCTTATCACTACAAAATGATATTGACCTCTTATTCCAGAAAATTGGTGTCTCTGGAGCCAGTGTTTATCAGATCTAATTTAGTTATTGAAGTGTCTGAATCAGAAACCTAGGCTCCATCTTTTGTCCATGGAGAGAGAGAGAGAGAAAGTGGTAGAGTAGCCAAAGCTTGAGGAGGTGAAATGTCTCACATGAGGGTGCTGGCCGAGCTGGGAGCAGACCCTGGTTTGGTGCCCCAGCGATGGGGTCACAGCACCATGCCAAGTGCCAGGACACGCAGCCTCCCCGCGAGGGCCATAACTGACCCAACAGGCATCACTGTCTCTTTGCTCTTTAGGGTACTCGAGAAGTCATTGACAGAATGTATATATGCAATGCTGTATGTATTACAGCCTGCCTGCCTGCTCATGTTTCTCACCTATCCCCAAACCCCAGGGAAAGCCAGTGCTCCAAAGCATTCCTGAGATGGAGTAAGAGGCTGCAAAAACAAGCACTGCCAAGGAATCTTCTGATTGTGTATAAAGGTCAGGCAAAGGCACTTCCTGTATTTTTGCAGACACACGGTGGTCCTCAGAGATAGCTTGATCTTTCTGCCGATTTGATAAACCCTTAGAAATACATAACTGCACAAGTACACCATTTCCTTCCTCCACACACAACCTTTTGTTGCAAAGTTTCTAGTACAATAGCTTTCACCAGCTTGATTAGCAAGCCTGGGCTCTGAAAAAGAGCCATGTTAGCGTGTTCAACCACAACAGGGCTGTTCCGTTTGTGTATTCAACCACAGTTGCTCAATTTAGTCATAAGAGTGAGTGTTTTGTTGCTTATCTCTATTGTTTTTCGCTTTAGCGCTATCCAGATTCATTCTGGCTATGCATCATCAATAGAAATATCAAGTATTTTATTTAATACAGTGTGCCTGCCCAGTTGCCAGTCATAGGAAAATCTGAAGACTGAGATTGCACAAAAACGTCGAAAGGCAGAATCTGAAGGTTATCAAAGTGCAAAGGTGTCTTTGATAGCAAAATTCGGCCAGCAGGATCCTTGGTGAAAAAAAGGCTTTTGAAAGCAACCAACAATTTCAGAAGCATCTGTTTCTGGCTGTCCAACTTGCAACAACATGAAGGAGCCCAGATTGAGATGGAAGGTGATCAGCAGCATCCACAGCTCAGGTCCTTTCTGTCTCCTTTCATCCTTCTCTTTGGGGTACATGCTGATATTAACCTTTGCTAGTATTTGGTAATATTTAGCTTTAGATAGTTTGCCGCCCACTGCAGGCTGCATTCCCATGGAATAAAGAGATCTCGGAGTAAAGAGATCTCACACCAATGTGTCAGACAGCCTCGGACTGGTGAGGCACTTCCCAGGCACCTTTTAGCATTTTCGTGAGATCTTAATAGTTTACATTCCTCGGGTAAAGAACAAGTAATAACATACAAATCAGAGTAGCCCATTTGTACCCCTCAATATCAGCCTGACTTTGCCATGTTGGAAGCTCTAGGGGTGATAACAGGGGGAATCTCCCCTCCCAGTCCAAGTTTCTGGGATACACTGAGAGAAAATAAACAAGGAATTTGACAGTACTAATGCTACTTTTTGCTTTTCCCAGGAGGACGAGGCAGATGGAAGTCAAGTATTTCAGGCTGAAATCGGAAAGGTTACCAAACAGATGGTTGGGATCACATGGTTGTGAGTTGTGAGTCAACAGGGACAGCAGAAAATCTTCTCTGCATCAAAGTTCAGAATTCAAATCTCACGAGGAAACCCAGCTCCCATTGAAATCAGTGGTAATTTAGCTATTAATTTCTAGTGATCTAGTATTCACCCAGTATTTCTGTTCTACTCCCCAGTTCAAACACTGAATGAGCTCTAGCTTAAATATGCCAAACTAGAATTAGCTTCACATTTCACCTTCTATAAATAGATACTGCAGTTTGTCTATTAAGTAGAATCAGTGACGGCTTTACAATCTCAGAGCTCCAGCTCCTTTAGCTGGGGTCTTTGTGATGTTCTCTATTTGAGTTGTACCTGCCTCAGTGTCTGCATCTCAGAGAAAGGGAGAACAAGAAGGTACTCTTACTGCTTAATTACAGATGTCAGGTTTAGAACCTGCTTTTAACTATATTTTGAAGAAGGCTTTTTATCCCCACCAAATCACTGCTTAGAGTCTAGAGGAAGGACCTCCCAGCTGAAGCACTTGTTAGATGCTCTAAATTAGGAGATGGCAAATCCTTTTAGCATCTGAGATTACTCCTATCTATAATCCTCATATGCCAGAACCCATCCTCTGTATACACAAGTGTCTTACTGCTTTTATATACCTAAGAATTGTATTTCCACCCCACCTAATAGTATTGCAAGGGAGAGGGATTTCCCCACGCTAAGACCTTCCCATTAGTAAAGAGAAGGAAGTATTTCTCACACTACCGCCCAACAAGCGTATTCCAGTCCTAATGAGACATTAACTACGTGGGAAATTTGCCATAACTCCTGTTGGTGCGAATATTTGCTGTGAAGCTGGACTTACCCGGTAATATTTCATATGCCTTCTTAACTGTTCACAATGACAGTAAATGACTATGCCTGAAGCTTCATATTAAAAGCACTGATGAACCCAGCTGCTGTTTCCCACCCCTACTGTCAGAAGAAAAGAGCCATTGGTCTGTAAATTCTGGGTTAAAGGAGCCAGCTTCACTTTATTATACTATTACAATAATAGATTTTTTACAGGCTGCTTTGCCGTGCTGATACAGTATTTTTAATGACCTCTGTGAAATTAGTTTGTTAGACTTCAGCCTGCTTCCTAGCAAAGTAGGTTCTCCCACATCAGACTGAGTGTTGCTGCATTTGGTGTTAATTAGAGCTGTAGTCTAGAGGCACATCGGGGGCTGGGGTTTATAAATTCACTTCAAAGACCCTATTTGTATACTTTTGCACAATACCTAGCATAACATATATATTATGATTTTCATCTGTAAAAGCAGAACTCGTTGCAAATAAAGTGCAGACTTTTCCATCCTATTAGAAAAGAATTAAGAGACCTCCAACTAAGGTCATGCTAAGAATGACACATAACACATAATTTAGCTTGTGTGTTACGATTTTTTCATCTACAGAGGTAGAAATCCCTGCACATAATGCTCGGATTCTTCTATCATATCAGAAGAGAATTAGAGATCCTTGGTAATATTCTGCTCTTCAGGCTCCAAGAGTAGCAAACAGACCCTGATACTAAACCCACTAAAAAGAAAGAAAAGCAGTTTTGAGGCCACCACAGCAATATCCCCCATCAACACTGCGCCTCCACAGCGGGGAACAAGCTGCTCCTAACAGGGTGCCGTGCAAGCAGGTGTGTCACTGATGGCCAGGGGTGTTTGCAGCTGAGCAGCCACTTCAACCAGTATAAATAGCTGCAGCAAACAAGTAGGAAGATTTTTTGGGCAGGGGAGGTTTTCATGAGGGGGGCCTAGCTGCTCCTTATCTGGGAACAGGCAGAAAGGATGAAGATCTGTATTTCTTATTTGAAGCTGTAGTTGCTGGAGGAGGAGGAGGAGGAACGACCCAGGGACTCTGGCAGTTTGATGCACAGCTATTTCAACACAAGAGCTTGCTTCTTCCTTTCCAGGAACTGCTGAAAACTTGTTATTTGCTTTGGCTTTTCCTTAACTTTCTGTCTCCTGGAGCTGTAAAGTCCGACGCTGGATCTACTTTACCTTCCCCGCTGCTGCAAAGCCCTGCGCACAAGCCAAAGGAGACTCCTCTGCTACGGGCCCGTGCTGGCTGCTGCCAGCAGGTCACACGCGGGGATGAATGGCATCTCCAGCCCTTGGGGATGGCAAGGTCGGTTTTCCAAGTCTCCTCGTGTGCCTGCTTGGAGGAGGTTGTGCTGCGAGTGGTGGCAGATGGTACCTGTAATAACCCGAACCCCAGCCTTAGGTTTTCCGTCACCCTCAAGACCTGTAGGGCTGATACACCACAGCGTTAAGTTAAAACGAACAAGTCGGGTTTCTCTTTAGGGTGGATGTTACTGCAAAGGGTTTGAAACTTTCCCTAAAGCTCTGTTTCTTGAAGCTCAGGGCTGACGCGGAGCTGAGTGGTCGAAAACCTCCCAGCCAGCTCTGCGGACACAGGGGCATCGGCAAGCCGCCGCCTTGCTGGGGTGGGGGGATTGGGAATTTGGGGAGCAGCGTGGGGCTGGAGGCCGCAGGAGCAGCAGCCTTGTCCCCGGGGAGGGAGAAGAGGAGGGAGCGGCCCTGGCCGCGGCCGCCATGGGGCGGCGCACCGCCGTTAACGGTCGCCCGCGC